GACCGCTTACCTCGGTATGGAAGGCTTTTCTGCTGTTACCAGTTTGCTCAATAGCTCGCCATGTACGTGGGTGGACTTGAGATGCAGAGAAGAGTTGACCATGACGACGGGCTTCCAGAACGGTTCCAGAAAGCAGGTAAAACAAAAACAAAAGGCAAAAAATAAAATAAACAAATAAATAACAGGGTGAGAATGTGGTAAAGTCTGAAAATGTGGTAAAAATCAGGCGAGGGCTTTTCTTTTTCTGGATTGCTTTTGAAAACACTGTTGGTCGTGTTTAGGGAAGGAGGGTGGGTCAGTCCGTCAGTCAGTCAGTCAGTCAGTCAGTCAGTCAACAGCGGCCTCTGATGGATTTACACAAGAACAGCAGGTGCGAACGGCACTCGCAGGGGAAATTTGAGATCTCAAAAAGCGTACACAGCAGCCTCTGGTGCACTTGCTAAAACAAAAACATTCTGAAAAAAAATTAAATAAAAAAAACTGCAAAAAAAAAAAACGTATTTGGTGTTGTCCAGAAATATATACAGGGGTACATTTTCAGAATGATCCTGGGTTGATAATCTGCTATTATACATACACGCATGTACCATCTTTGAGAGTTATAATGAGTACAGCGTAGTGATGTTACATCATGAGCAATGTTGACTACAGCTATCTGATTCTGTGTCTGTTTTTATTAAGTGTGCAAAAACACACAACACATGGTAAACACAGCACTGAACATACAACATATGGCAAACACTCAACACACACACACAGCAATAGAAGGTGCGTGGTATGCCTTGATATTGAACATTCAACTCTTAAGTCTACCAAAGTGACGTTTATTGTAAGCTCATTTGTAAGTCGCTTTGGAAAAAAGTGTCTGCTAAATGACTAAATGTAAGTGTATTGACATTTTAGTTGTTTGAAATAATGTAATGTATAATAAATAATATCTAGAGACATAAGAAAATTCACTTGCAGTTTATTACAAGGTTTTTGTAGCATAATATACAACAGCAACCCAGCAAATATATCACTTTAAACTATTAAAAATGTTCATGAAAGTCCCTTTTTTAAGGTTTTAAAGGAAGAAAAAGGCTCCAGTGATGCAATTCAAAAGCATAAATAATTGTGTTTATATTTGTTTGTGTTGTGATTACACCGTTAGCATTCTTATATATACATAAAAGTCATCATCCCGTCAAAATCTTATAACTGCTTAATGATGATGATGATAATAATAAGTCTTCTGAGTCTTCTAACATATGGCTGTATGTTCTGTACTAGTGGACATGACTGCGGGCAGATGCGTGATGTTTGCTCAACAGTGCCTTTCGCGTGGCCTTTGGACGCCACACCCTGGCTTTGTTAACGTGGTCATAAAACAGGTCCTGTTGCGGCGACGTTGTGGAGGAGAGATATGTGTGGCCGTCAAGCTGAGCTTCTCTGTCACAGCAGCGATAAGAGAGTCCAGAGTGTGCTTGATAATGAAAGAGCCCACGGTTTCTGGGATCCCGCCATGCCGTTACACTAAGTAAACAGCATGAGCTCCGGCTCTGCAACACTTCTCACTTCTCGGAAAAATGAGGATCCACTGCTGCGTTTTACTCCATGTGCAGCCAAGGCCGAAATTGTTAGCGCTAGAAAATTCTGACTTAAATTTACTTATATTTAACCAGCAAATGTGTTTATTATATATCCTTGCATAAAAAATCCCCAGCTTTTGTTTACATTATGCATACCCTTCTCAATAATCAATAAAACTAAGCCTTTATTGGCTATTACAGCAGTCGAATGCTCCCTCCACAGATTCTCAATTGGGTCTCAGTCAGGACTCTGGCTTGGCCACTACAAAATGTTAATGTCTTTGTCTGCTAATCATTTCTTCACTGCTTTTGCTGGGGGATTTGGGTTGTTGCCGTGCTGAAATCTCCACTGGTGCCCAAGGCTAAGTTTCTCTGCAGACCACCTGATGTTCTTGTTGAGAATTTTAATCTGTTGGTCCTTTATCATGGAGCCATTTACTGTGATTAGGTTCCTTGATCCACTAATGGAAAAGCAACCCCTAAAAATATTTGGGTTCCTACCATCATGTTAAACAGTGGGGGTGGTGTTCTTAGGATTAAAATTAATTAAAGAAGCCTTTATTGGCTACTACAGCAATCAAATGATTGTTATAATTGCTGATCAGCATGTCTCCACTATAGGGCTAAAAGTCAGGGTGATAGCAAGGAGACCCTCCAACCTGAAAGAGATGGAGCTCATCCCTAAAGATGAATGGGCAAATATATACTATAGTAGTCTAAAATGATTCACATGTGTCACAATAATAAACATTTATTTTATTAATACAAATTACTTTAAAAATACACAACAATTCCTTTTTAATTCAGTCTCATAATCTCAAACCGTCTTGAAGTTTACAATGATGAACAAAACATCAGCAGTAGATAAAGTACGAAAGTAAAACAACCAAGGGAAATAGCAAACATTTCAGATTTAAGTGTTCTTTGAATGTCACTTCATCACTTCGTAGTGAACACTTAAAAATAAAGGTTCAGAAAAAGCTTCACACTTCTTTTTAGGGTACAATCCTCAGTATTAACAAACCATTGGCTTGACTTTTGCCGTAATAAACTCCTAATTTGCTGCTTAATAATAGTTAAGGTAATATATAAGTGGGTTATATTAGTGATGTAGAGTAAGATCATGCAGAGTATGTGCTATATAAATACAAATAAACAGACTATAATAGGCAGGTGATAAACCACTAGTTAATAGTGAGAATTGGTGCTTGAACTAAAATGTTGCTGAATATTTTCTTCTCATAAACGAATTAAATACACCAAATTGGTATAGTTTAGGTGAATTGAATAAACTAAATTGGTGTATGAGTGTGTGTGGATGTTTCTCATTATTGGGTTGTAGCTGGAAGGGCATCCTTCAAGGATAAGTTGGCGGTTCATTCCACTGTGGTGACCCCTGATAAATAAAGGACTAACACGAAGGAAAATGAATGAATGAATGAATAACAGAGTATGGAGTATTAGTATAGGGTATGTTTAATATCTGCTGACATTGCCCCACCAACAGGCATTATTTACAGTGAAGTTTATATTGTAATATTTTCTGTCATTTAGTAGAAATATTATACAAGAGGCCTGCTTTGTGGATCTAGATTTTCATTGTAAACCTTATTTATATTTTTTATTTCATGCTTTAAGTTTTTAGTTGTTGTACTCCCAATTTATAATTTTTTTTTTTTTTTTTTTTTTACAAAATTCTGTACAGAAAAAGGAAGAAATGTCCACAGATTCTGTCTGGCCCTGCTAATAATCAACAAAATGTGTTAAAGCAACACTTTTTATCCATTTGTGTGTGTTAAACAGTTGAGTTTTACCACTTTTGAACCCATTCAGCTAATTTTTGGGTCTGACGGAAATATTTTAGCTTAGCTTAGCATAGATAATTGAGTCTGATTAGACCATTAGCATCTCACTTAAAAACGATCAATCAGTTTTGATCATTATTCTATTTAAAGCTTAAATCTTCTCTAGTTTCATCATGTACTAAGACTAAAAGGAAAATTAAAAGATGCTATTTTCTAGGCCAACATATCTCGGAAGTAAACTCTCATTCTGGCGTAATAATCCAGAAACTTTTTTTGCATCACCATGACTGCATCATCTTTTTGTGAGCAATCATTCAGAAGTATTTTCAGGTCATTTTTCATCATTCTTATTACACGATGTAACCATAGAAAAGTCAAGCTTCAAACAAGAAAATTATCAAAAATCTTTTTAAAAGTTTTTAAGTGAGATGCTAATGGTCTAATCGGATTCAATGATCTATGCTAAACTAAGCTAAAATGCTTCAATGAGACCTGAAGATTGGCTGAATGGATTAAAAAATGGTACAACTCAACTGTTTAACACTAGAGGAGCTGTAAAATGAGTGTGTTTACAAAAAAAGCACAACCCAGGCTAATCCTAAAAACGTTTCTGGAGACTGCGAATTAATTAGCGGGAGGTACGTATGGCAGCATTTCGTTTTTTAAGCGAACGCTCTGGGGCGGTGTGACACAGCTCCTTTTCAGGCTTACCAGCTGACCACTTACCTCCCTGTGAAGGGCTTTCCCACCGCAACCAGTTTGTCCGGTTAGCTCGTCGTGTACGTCGGCAGACGTGAGATGCAGAGAGGAGCTGACCATGATGACGACGACCGGGTTCGAGTCCAGGGAAGAGCGATTCCAGAAATCAGGTAAGACAATAACAGAATCCAAAAAATAAAGTGAACAAGTTCATAACAGGGTGAGAATGCGGTAAAATCTGAAAACGTGGTAAAAAATCAGACAAGGGCTTTTCTTTTTCTGGATGGCTAGTGTAAATTGTTGGTTGGGTTTAGGGAAGTAAGCGGGTGGGCGGGTCAATCGGTCAAATTGGTTGGGTTTAGTGAAGTGGGTGGGTCAGTCGATTGGCCGGTCGCCCAGTCAATCATTCAGCCAGTCAGACAGACGGTCGTTCGACAGCGGCCTCTGGTGGGTTTACGTGAGAAAAGCACGGGCGCGAATGGCACTCGCGAGAGGCATTTGAGATGCCAAAAAGCGCACACAGCGGGCTCTCGTGGATTCGCGAAAACAAAAACTGCAAAAATACATACCTCCCGGGACATATTTCGCAGTCTCCAGAAACCTCCACGGGACTACATTTTCAACCTGGGTTGAAAAGCATTCCTTTAACACATTTTGTTGCAGACAGAATCTGCAGACATTTCATGTTTTTTTAGTTTTTTTTGTGCAGAATTTTGTAAAAAATAAATAAATAAATAAATAAATAAATAAAAATGTGTGGAATGATTGTGGGAGTATAGCAATGAAACACTTAAAACATGAAATAAAATATAATAACTTTTAAAATTGATATAACGCCTGCAAAACATACTCACCTATTGTCAAAACAGTGGAGTGTTCCTTCAGAAATGAGACCATCAAAAATAAATGTAAAAATCTATGCTCATTTATTGCCGTCTAAGAACCTTTATTTTTAGAAGTGTGGCTGTCGACTATTTGTATTTGTCAAGAAAATTCCATAAAATTTCATTTTGCTGAAAAAAAGTGAGTCATTGGATTTACTACAGAGCAGGCAAACGATGTCATAAGATGTTAATATTAGGTTAGATTTAGGTTGTGACGTCAGGTGACCAAAATTCAATGTCTACTCAGCGTCTAAGGACAACGTTATTTTGATGTCCAATAATGACAACGAATGACATTGATATTTGGTTGATATTAGGTTGTGTTGGACAGTCCAACGTCATCAGGTATGGCAACCAAAGTCCAACGTCTGATAGTCGTCATAATGGTAACATCCACATATTGTATATGTGATATGATATTTGGTTGATTTTAGGTTGTGTTGGAGAGTAACCAAAACGCAATGTTAAGCAAACATCTTAAACCAACGTCTTATTTATGTCAAATACATCATTTATGGCTATCGAAATCCAACATCTAATAGATGTCATAGTGGTAACATCCACACAACGTCAAGCTGTAACATCATTAGACGTTGAAATTTGGTTGATTTTACGTTTTCTTTTTGCCAACATTTTAAACCAACATAATATTGACGCCAAATACTGACATTTATACATCAGGAATGGCAACCAAAATCCAACATCTGATAGACGTCATAATGGCAACATCCACACAACATCATTAGACGTTGATAATTGGTTGATTTTTGGTTGGACGTAAACATCAGCCTGACATTGGGTTCTCATGTCCACTTGATTTTCATTCCAAACAACTTGCAACGTCCCCATGATGTTGACCTACAACGTCAGTCTGAGGTCATGTTGACGTCCTGTGCCTGCTGGATGAATTCTTTTAAGGCGTGTGGTTGCAAATACTTTATTTGGGCTAAATTTAAACAAACAAATTAAGCTGAACACTACTCAACTCATTTTTGTTTGTTTAACTTCAGCCCACATAAATCGTTTGCAACAACATTATTTTCAGTGCTCCAGGAAAGATGTGCTGATTTCATGAAGAGTACCCTGTGTTGGATTAGTGTGTTTCGATATAAAAATCTCTATCAGTCCAGGTTTTCCGAGTCCTCAATACTCTTCTTTGATGGACATTGGCATGGGCGGGGACACGAGGCCACCGCTACTGCTGCTGGTCACCATCGGCACATTGCCTGGTAGTGCTGAGCCCGGTGGGGTGGGTGTGGTGGTGGATGCCGGCTGAGGCTGCTGCATTTTCTTCTTATTGATTTTCCTCTCTTTAGCACGGCGGTTCTGGAACCAGATCTTCACCTGTCAACAACAACATGCCATTAGTCATATTGCCTATATATATATATATATACAACAGTTCTGTCTGGTTCTCGAATCTGATTGGCTGATAGCCGTGATATAATTAAGTAATATCAGCACCCATACAGCCTCTTTACCCTTTGTGTATAACTCCGCCCACATACAGCCAGCAAAAAGCAGACACTCCAGATCTAAAGTTTAAAAGATGCACGCTCAGCTGTTTAACTGTCAGCTTATGATTTGAATACAACGCGGAAGAAAGTAGTTCCTCATACAAAAGGGTTTTTGAGACTCTCCATGTTTGATTTTGTGTTTACATACACAATTAGGCCGTCACAATGTTGTTTAAATGCAATATCACACTCGTACTAGTGCGATATGGCTGTATATCGGCACTGGTGGGAGCACTAAGGCTCTCGGCCTGTGGTCTCGTGCCAACGCACGCCTCCCACCGACATACAGCCATATCACACTGCTAATATATATATATATATATATATATATATATATATATATATATATATATATATATATATATATATATATATATATATATATATATATATATATATATATATATATATATATATATATATATATATATATATATATATATATATATATATATATATATATATATATATATATATATATATATATATATATATATATATATATATATATATATATATATATATATATATATATATATATATATATATATATATATATATATATATATATATATATATATATATACATACATATTTTTTGTGCTAAAGGTGATGATAGTGATGTCTGTTTTCAAAACGCTGTGCTAAAAACAATGGTTCATTGGATTTACAATTATTTTTAAGGTAAGTGGCTGCAAACAATCGGAAATAACAATTGCAAATAAATGGGCTGAATTTAAACAAACAAATTAAGTTAAACATTGGCAGTTCTAAACAGCCTACCAATGACTTTTTGAGAAGGTTTGTTTTGTTCCCAAACACCTTTGAGCTGCTATTTGTTCATGACAATTACACAATCGGAAACTGCTCAGTCGCCATTAATGTTGTGTTTATCAATACACTCAAGCAGTGCGACACATTTACAACCCAGCCCACTGCAGTGAGGAGATGTGGAAAGGGTCGAATATAGGATAAGGTCACTCAGACTTTTCGAGTTTCTTTATGCCCTCAAAGTACTAAAAAGAACTTTGTATACCAGCTAACACTGAACATATTGGGAACATTTTTTTTTTGGTTCGCAGAATGTTGGATCCCTGTTGTTTAGCCAAGAAGGCTTTCTGTACATAGTAACAATAACAACAATAAGGACTGCCCATTGGCCTGGGGCAAGCGTGAGAGATGCTCGGGATAGTAGACAGGATTGTTACTGACCTGATTGGGCCAGGGCTGCCTTGTCACTAAAGTATAATTTTAATTAATGTGACTATTTAAACAAGTGAAGAGTGAGTAAATAAGCACAGAATTTTCATTTTTCGTGAATTGTGGCGTTAAGAACAGTATAAAAGCAGCTGACCTGTCTCTCTGACAGACTGAGTGCGGTTGCCAGTTCTGCTTTTCTTCTTATTGTGATGTAGCGGCTGTAATGAAACTCTTTCTCCAGCTCCAGACGCTGATGATCTGTGTACACCACCCGGTATTTGTCTTTTGTTCTGGTCTTCCCTCCTAAAAACAACAACAAAAGTCTCAAGTAAACATTTTATATATATATGTGGATCAAAAAGGTTTTCAAAATGTATATATGTATATATATATATATATATATATATATATATATATATATATATATATATATATATATATATATATATATATATATATATATATATATATATATATATATATATATATATATATATATATATATATATATATATATATATATATATATATATATATATATATATATATATATATATATATATATATATATATATATATATATATATATATATATATACATTTTGAAAACCTTTTTGATCCACATCAAAGATTGGCTACTGAATGTAAACAGCTGAAGTCAGAATTATTTGCCCCCTTGTTTATTTTTCCCCAAATTTCTGTTTAACAAAGAGCAGATTTTTTCAGCACATTTGTAAACAATAGTTTTAATATCTCATCTCTAATAACTGATTTTTTTATCTTTGTCATGATGACAGCACATAATATTTTACTAGATCTTTTTCAAGACACTTCTATACAGCTTAAAGTGACATTTAAAGGCTTCACTAGGGTAATTAGTTTCACTAGGCAGGTTAGGGTAATTAGGAAAGTTATTGTAGATGGTTTGTTCTGTAGACTATTAGAAAAAAATAGCTTAAAGGGGCTAACAATCTGACCTTAAATGTTGTTTAAAAAAATTTAAAACTGCTTTTACTCTAGCCGAAATAAAACAAATAAGACTTTCTCCAGAAGAAAAAAATATTATCAGACATACTGTGAACATTTCCTTCCTCTGTTAAACATCCTTTAGGAAATATTTAAAAAATAAAATAAAATTCAAAGGGTGCAAATAATTCTGACTTCAACTGTATATATTACACTTTTCATTGTGTATGATTTGAAAATTCTTTATTTTTTAGATATTCTTTTCCTTATTATATTTATATATATATTTTACTTTGTATAATGGTTATTTGACAACATATTACTTCACATCTAGGACTAAAGCTTCTTTTTTAGCATTGATTGAGCATTATTGGAATTCATTGATGAGAATCTTTAACATCCATGGAGAATTTTCATTGCACAAAAAAAATGTTTATCATTTATTAATTTTCCTCCGGCTTAGTCTCTGATTTTATCAGGGGTCACCAAAGTGAAATGAACCACCAACTATGCAGCATATGTTTTATGTAGTGGATGCCCTTCCAGCCGCAACCCAGTGCTGGAAAACACCAATAAATAAATGAATGAATGAACATAAAACAATTAATGTGTCCCACAAAATAAGCCGTATTGTTTAAACAAGCAAGAATTGTTTAAGTGCACTCAAAAATTATTTTTGTGGCTTGTTTAAACTAATTTAAAATTAGTTGAAACCACACAATTCTTTTTAGACAACATAATTATTTTATGTTAAATCTCCTTAAATTTGTAAAAACAATTTAGTTAACTTAATGGATTTGTGTTGGGATTGTGTGGATTGAGTTTTTACCAATTTTAAAATCTCTGCAATAATTCAATTTCAATATTGCTACTCAGGAAATAAATAAACCTCAAACATTATACTTTCTCACTGAGGATTTTATCTTTTTTTTCGCAAAAGCTGTTTTGAGTGAACACTCATCGCCAGAAATCCAAAACCAAATAAAGCTGACACTAATTAATGATGATGCGATTATAAACGCAGGGTCATAATTTTGTTTTTGAGTTAATGTGTTGATCTTTTCTATTAAAAAGTAACTATGGGAACACGGTGTTTGCTCCCTTAATCAAGCCGATGGTTAAGAGCACACATACATACGACACCAAGATGTCCACGTTATAAAGGTCTTGGAGTCGCGTCTCTATATTTCAAACTCAGTTTACCCTGTCAGAGGCGAGAGGGACTTAAGTGGCTGCCGGGTTAAATATTAAAGCATAAGCGGCAAAGAAAGAAGGACACCGCCTGTCTAGGGCAACAGGCACAGAGGGAGGAACTGCAGATAATTAGGCTTCTCCGCCATCGCATCTTCATTGAAAATCTCACGAGAGACCATAATCTCTAGCTATCATTAACTCGGCCGAGAAACTCGTACAGTCCTCCATTGGAAAGGGCTTTTTATTGTGCTATACTTACACTTTACCTTTATTGCGCTATACTTTGTATACATTTCAATTCAATATGTGACTGTGAACAAGTAATATACACTGTAAATAAGATGGGTTCTATGCAATCGGATACGAATATAGGTGGATTGAACATAAAACAATTGAGTTGTCTCAACAAAAAGTAAATAATTGTGTTGTTTCAGCTCATTTTAATTACTGTAAGTAGTTTGAACAAACAGCAAATGTCATTTTTTGAGTGAGCAGTCCTCCATTTGAAAGACATTTTATTGTGTTGTACTTTGTACACGTTTCAATTCACTATACAGTTGAAACCAGAAGTTTACATACACTCTTAAAAAAGGAACATAACCATTTTTTTAAATGTCTGATGGTAAGTCATACTAATTGTTTACTATTTTAGATTCCTTAGGATTATCTAAATGATTTACATTTGCTAAATGCCAGAATAATGAGAGACTTTTTTTATTAATTTCTAGACAGTCTTTATTTTCTTGGTATTTTTTTAGCTTTGCTTTTAAACTGTATAACTTTGGTCAAATGTTTTAGGTCTCCTCCCACAAGCTTCATACAATTGTTTGAAAGAATTTTGGCCCATTCCTCCTGACAAAATTTGTGTAACTGAGTCACATTTGTTAGCTTTTTCAACTCTGCCCACACATTTTCTATAGGATTGAGATCAGGGCTTTGTGATGGCCACTCCGAAACATTCACTCTGTTGTCCTTATAGCACATTTGATCTAATTTGGCAGTATGCTTAGGGTCGTGGTCTGTTTGGGAAACCCATTTGTGGCCAAGTTTTAATTTCTTGGCTGATGTCTTGAGATGTTACTTCAGTATTTCTACATGATGTTCTTTCTTCATGATGCCATCTATGCTGTGAAGTGGACCAGTCCCTCCTGCAGCAAAACAGCCCCACAACATGATGCTGCCGCCCCCATACTTCACAGTTGGGATGGTGTTGCTTGGCTTGTAAGCTTTTCCCTTTGTCCTCCAAATGTAACACTGCTCATTATGGCCAAACAGTTCAGTCTTAGTTCCATCAGAGCACAGGACATGTCTCCAAACATGAGTGTTTTCCCAGTGTAGTTTAGCTAATTGTAATCCGGCTTTGTTGTTGATTCTGGCTTGTTGATTTTCCCATGTTGTCACACAAGGAAGCAGTGTGTTTAAGGATTTCCTTCAATACTAATCTACAGTCGTGCCTCCAGTTAACTCAAATGTTGTCAATTAGCCAATCAGAAACTCCCAAAACCTCGAAACCATCATCTGAGCTTTTCCAGAGGCAGAATAATCTTATTGTGTGTAAACTTGACTTTCAGGAAAACTTATAACAATTTCTCAAACAATTTCTCTCTCATTATTCTACTATTAAGCATGACAGAAACAAATGTGATCATCCTAACTTACTTAAAAGAGAAAAAGTTTAGTCACAGTAACATCTGACCTTTTTTTAATGGTTATGTGCCTTTTTATACAGTGTATGTAAACTTCTGGTTTCAACTGTATTATTGTGAACAAGTAATATACACTGAAAAAATGCTGTGGGTTCAACACAATCATTGACTCCCCTTAAGCATAAAAACACCATAATATGTTTGCAGATATTTCAGAAACATGCTCAGTGAACATTCTAGTTTATTAGAAAACAATGCTGAAGTCGGATATTCTGCTTTGAAAATGTACATTACGTGCTGGAACAGCTGACTTTGTTTTGGTCGTTTAACCCGCACAAAGCCAGTTTAGCCAATTATATTTCAGCACCCCGGGTTGCCTTGGTGGAAAACAGAATATTTCATTCATTCATCCAGAAAGGCTCTCAAAGCATGCGTTTGTGACCGAAATGCGACCTCCGGTAGACATTAGTACCGCTACTTAGAGGCAGACATTAGTACCGCTACTACCGCTACTTAGAGGCTACTCCGGTAGCCTCTGAAATGAGAAGCAGATTCAGAGTTCCACATGAGGTTATAATTTGGCTAATTATATCACGAGCGTAAACATTAGGTGAGCAGGTTACATTGTAACCCCGTGTCAAAACACACTACATGACAAAATTTGCAGTGATAAGCAATTTGCCTGTTTACACCAGACGAAACTTGACAAAAATTTAAATACAGCCAATCAGAAGCACAGAATAGTGCACTCACTGCACTCCAATAAAATGGTAAGGTTTATAATCGAATTAGTACATATTAAACTTCTCTAACATTATTAAATGTGCATGTTGTAAAGTTAAATTTCAGACAGTTAATTTTATTTTCAAGACCTGAGCTGGTCATTGTTGATTTTCTGTTGTTCAGCTGCAAGAAAAGGCGTTTCTAAAATATCAATTTGAGGTGTTGTTTAGAACGAAAAACTCCTTCTATCACATGCCGTTGATTTAATTTAAAACACGGCTGAAATCAGCCTTTAGACTCGTCAGACTCGTTCCTGTTGATCAATCTGGCAACCTGCGCTTGCGTTTGTTTTGATCCAGAAATGTAATGCCTAGTTCAACCACTGGGTGTCAAACTTACATACTGCACCTTTAACTTATTCATTTTTGCAAATTTAAGTGAATTAAACAATTAAATTGTCACAACAAAAAGTCAATAATTGTGTTGTTTGGCCTCATTTTACTTACTGTAAGTAGTTTGAATTTTAGGAGGAGCATGTGATATAATTGATCACGGCTGCCTGGTCTGTCATCTGTAATCATTAGTAAGCCAATTAGATTGTTCCAAACTCACTATAAATTTCCCGTCTTATATTACTCCATTATCTTTGTTTTTTGAAGAATCGCCCCTTCCACCTCTTCTCCTCCTTTCCTCCTTTACCAGGCGGAGCTCTTGAGATCTACCTGATCTCACCCCTTTACATGCTCATTAACCAGGCGGAAGCCCTGGGCTCAATTCTGTCCAAGCTCAGGGTTCTCTGGGACAGCATGCCAAACCTGCTAGCATTATCAAGCAATATCTAAATGTGAACTCTTGAATGAACCTTATTGTAAAGTGTGACACATTTATGATTGTGAACAAGTAATATGCACCATAAATGAGGGGTTCAAAACAATTGGATCAAGTTAACTTTTAACGAATTTAAGTGGATTGAATAAAATGATAAAGTTGTCACAACAAAAAGTCAATAATTGTGTTGTTTTGCCTCATTTTAAATTAGTAGTTTGAACAAACAGCGAACATCATTTTTTGAGTGAGCAGTCCTCCATTCGAAAGGGGATTTTATTGTGCTGTACTTTTATGCTTCAATTTAATTTATGATTGTGAACGAGTAATAAACATTGTAAAGAAGTGTTTGATTTGTGTTAAGAAAACATGAAGGAATTAAGTTAGCTTATTAGTATTTAGAAATTTAAGTGGATTGAACATAAAACAATTAAGTTGTCCCTACAAAAAACTCAAGAATTGTGTCGTTTCAGCTCATTTTAATTAAGTAGATTGAACAAACAGCAATATATTTTTTTGGAGTGTATGGTTATGAACTGAAAAATGTCTGCAAAATTGTTACAATTTATTTGTGTTGAGTTTAAACAAACTAAATTTAGTAATGTTCAGCATAATTTATACGTTTACATTCAGCGTAAACAAAGTGTTTAAAACCACTTAACTTAAAAAAATAAAGTAAATTCAAGGAATCATCTTTGAATTTTTTTTCAGTGTATGAGTAGTTGACAAATAGACGTTTTGCTTTTTTTTTTTTTGCTTAATTTTTTAAGAAATTTATGTATATTTAATGTTTAAAAAATGTTGGGTTCTTTGAAAAAATTATGTTGGCAAAATTGTTGCAAATTATTTTTATGTGTTGAAATTAAACAAACAAAATAAAATTTAGTAATGTTCAACAGCCCAAATGAATTGTTTACCACCACTTAACTTAAATCTATTTAGTAAATCTAAGGAATCATCTTTGAATAAGTGTTCTACACAATCCCTTCATGCCATTTCAACACAAATCCATTAAGTTAACTTAATAGTTTTTATAAATTTAAGTTGATGGAACACAAAACAATTTACGCAATTAATAAAACAAAATATATATTTTTTTCATTTTAGTTTGTTTGTATAACAATTTTTTAAAAAAAATTATTATTTTATTTAGTTTGAAGTCATGAAGTTTGAGAAAATATAAGAAATGACTGCCTTTATCAATTCTTTCATTGTTTATGTTATATAATTTGTACTGAATTGTACCTTAAAATATGTCCTATGGTGTGTGACACTGCAAAAAATGAACAAAAACACACACTCATATAAAATATATTTCATGTTTGTTTAAACTACTTATTTAAAATGAGCTGAAACAACACAATACCTCATTTTTTTTGTGGGCCAGTTTAATTGTTTTTAAGTTCCATCCACTTAAATTTGTAATAATAATTCCCTTATAATTCTATTCCTATAACACAAATCGATTGTGCAGAACCCAGCATTTAATAACATACAAAAAGCATGAGAGTTTTTTCACAGATTTTTTTCCCCACAAAATTTCACAGATTTTCTGAAGTTTCATCACTATTATGGCAAAAACGGACAAACAAATAACTTTAATTCTTCCTCATATATTTGTCATGACATCACAGATAATCAGTGGAAAGTTGTAAGTTGTATATTTACTTGAACCCTGTAAAACGCTTACATTTTTGAGTTGAATTAAATGAACTTTTCCAGTCGCCTCAACTTCTATCAGTCAAACTGATATTAAAAAAATATTAAGTTAAACTTTTCACAACTTACAATTTTGTCTAATATAACCTGATTACGTTATTAAAATAAGTTAAAGCAACATATAAACATTTGCAGTTATGACTTTTACATTTATAAAACATTCATTAAACATTAGATTAAAAAGTCATAACAGCAAATGTTTATAGGTTGCTTTAACCTATTTTAATAACGTAATAAATGTCATCTAATGTTTAATGAATGTTTTATAAATATAAAATACACAAGTGTATCGGGATATTCACAGTTCTCGGATTAAAAAAATATATGCTGTAAATTACTTGAAATCAATAAATGGAGCAAATAATAAATTACTATATGCTGGAAGTATAGAATTAGATTGTTTGCTTGTTTTTTTGTTGTTTTTGTTTTTTTGGCGGCGCTTACAGCTAAAGGTCGCTGGTTCGAGCCTCGGCTGGGCCGATTGGCATTTCTGTGGAGTTTGCATGTTCTCCCCGTTTTCGCGTGGGTTTTCCTCCGGGTGCTCCAGTTTCCCCCACAGTCCAAACACATGCGCTATAGGGGAATTGAATAAGCAAAAGTGTCTGTAGTGTATGTTTGTGAATGAGAATGCATGGGTGTTTCCCAGTGATGGATTGCAGCTGGAAGGGCATCCGCTGCGTAAAACATATGCTGGACAAGTTGGAGGTTCGTTACGTTGTGGTTCCCCCTGTTTAATAAAGGGACTAAGTCGAAAATAAAATAAATGTTTGTTATCGCACAAACTCCGTGCGGCTTTTGTGTGGATTTATGCGTATAATTCAAGTAATGTAAAAGACAATATTACGCTTTCTATAACCACTTTCCTCTTGGATTTTTTTAAACACAGGCCTTATATTGTTAAATTAACCATTAAAATGGCATCTGGCTGACCTTTTGCCTGTAGCTTACCATTAAAAGAAATTATCAATATATGTTTTTTTTTTTTCTTTGAGTGAAAGTTAAAGCGTTCATTCATTCATTTTCTTTTCGGTTTAGTCCGTTTATCAATCTGGGGTCACCACAGTGGAATGAACCGTCAAATTAAAGCGTTAATATTATTAATACCTCAACATAACTCAACATTTGGTGTCAGAAACACAATTTAACCAAACGAATGTTTACATTTTTTCTTAGAGTGGAAAGTAAAGCGTTTAATAATATAAATTAAATGTTAAAAAGGATGATTGCTTTTAGATTTTACATGACCCTTATTTTTCCTTTTGTCCTTTAGGTTATCATATAGCTAAAATAAAACTCAACATTTAATGTCAGAAACAAAATTTAAACTTTTTTTTGTCTTAGATTGGAAGTTAAAGGGTTAATAATAATAATGCAATTACCAAATTTACCTTTATTATTATTATAATAATAATTATTATTATTATTATTTGTTTTTATTATTCAAATAATAATTTTTTAAAAATCAACATTTGGAGTCAGAAACACAATTTAACCAAATACATTTTTCAAAATGGATTTTTTATTGTTGTTTTAGAGTGAAAGTTAAAGCGTTGATTATATTATATATTTATAAATTAAATATAATTTAGAATTTACCTTTTGTCGGGTTGTCATAAAAACCCAACCCTTGTGCGTCAGAATCAATTTAAGCAAATACCCTTAAAAAATACTGTCTTGGAGTAGAAGTTAAAGCGTTCATTATATTAACCTAATTAAATGATCAAAATACAATTACATTTAGATTTTAAATGTGCATGAAATGAATGTACCTTTTGGTCATATTGTTATCCTTAAAGTATCATAAAAAACTTTTAGTGGCAGAAACACAATTTAACCAAACACATTTGTAGTTGTCTTATAGTTGAAGTTTTTAAAGCGATAATAATATTGATTAAATGACCAAATTTGCATTAGATTTTAGACGAGCCTGAAAATAGCTACCTTTTGTCGGCTTATTGTAAAAAAAACACTCAGCATTTGATGTCAGAAATAATTTAACCAAGTTAGTTTTTTTTGTCTTGTTCTCGTTAATTATATTAACCTAATTTAAAGATAAAAAGATAATTTCATTTGGATTTTACATTACTTTAAATTTACATTGTGTCCTATGTTCTCAATTTTGGTTACATCTGGTGTCAGAAACAGAATTTGGCAAAATACATTTTTCAAAATATATATCTTTTTTTTGTCTTTGAGTGGAAGTTATAGACTAAATTTCGTTAAAGAAAAATATTGATCAAAAAATATAATTGCATGTGTATTAAAGAAGCACCTGAGCTGGCGGGCGGGACGCTGCGGCGCATCCAGTCGTAAGGGTTGCGTCTCTGCGCGTTGGGTGACAGCTGTCCGACTGAAGAGTTGATGGAGGATTGGAGCAGACCCGGAGTTTGGACAGATGAAAACTCTGGAGGACTGAAGCCCAGCTGACCTGTGCTCGAGCTGGACACTCCTGATCCCGGCCCGTAAGGTGTCCATTCCTCCCGCGGAGGGGGGTAAGCGGGGTTCCAGCTGCCCGTCTGGCTGTGATGCGGGTCATTAGTGGTAATTCCCGGGACGTGATGGTATCCTGTAAAGTCCGGATACTGTGGAGGCGCCGGTACGAAATTCTGAGGGTTTAAATTTAGGCTTGGGTGTCTTACGGAATTCGGGTACATGCTGGAGTCCTTATCTAGGAGATAACTCACGTACATTTTTTCTGGTGGCTCCAGTGCATAGTTTGCACTCCCCCCAAAAATTGATCTAGGCTCCTCAGACCCAGGGTTATATGCCTATAACCTGACGGTTCCTCTACCTGGCCGGATTCTCTGTACACCTCAGCCTTGACGCCTGCTAAAGGTTGGAGCAGTGACGTCACTTTTATGATCATGATTATTATTATTGCCCGCCCTACATGGATTCAGAAACTGCCTTTGGTCGAGTTCCAGGTCACAGCGGCGGCGCATCAAGAGCGCCATTCGGAATTTATACCTATTATAAAATATTATACACTGCAAACATAGTTAGTACCTAATGGGGGAGAATGTGAAAAATGCTACTGTACACTGTAAAGAAATCCACACAATCGGTTTGTGTTGGGACAACCTGACGGAATTAAGTTATTAGTTTTTACAAATATAGGTGAATTGAACATTAAACCCATTACGTTGTCCCCACAAAAACCTCAAGAATTGTGTTGTTTCAGCTCATTTTAAACAAGTAGCTTGAACAAGCGTCAAAGGTCATTTTTGAGTGTAAAAATGTAAGTTAAGACAAACATTTCACGCAAAATTGATGTTTCCTTCAGAGGTTTTACTTGTCTAGGCCTGATGATTTATTTTATGGCAACATGGATTAAAATAAGAATCTAAATCACCAAGAAAATAGCTACATATTATAAGCTCTCTTTTTTTAAAAGAAAAAGACCCAAATAGATTGCTACTGTCGTTTTAGGGATATAAAAATTAAGCTCATTGACATCGATGGTTTTTAGCATTTTCGTGCACAGAAGGATACTTGTAAAAAGGGTTATTTAATTATAAAATGTTCTTCACAATATAAAGTATATAAAAAATTACATATTATACACTGCAAACATAGTAAGTTAATAGGGGAGAATGTGAAAAAAATGCAACTTTCCACGCAATCGGTTTGTGTGGGGACAACATGAAGAAATTAATTTGACTTATTCGTTTTTAGAAATTTAAGTGGATTGAACATAAAACTATTAAGTTATCCCCACAAAAACCTCAAGAATTGTGTTGTATCAGCTCATTTTAAATAAGTAGTTTAAGCAAGTGTCAAACATCTTTTTTGAATGTAAAAACTGCTTCAAAACAAAAGTTGAGACAAGTTTCACACAAAAGCTATTGTTAGTTTAGAAGGTTTTATATATTTTTTTATTTTATTTTATTGGCAACATGGGTGAAAATAAGAATGTAAATCATTGGAAAATACATATAATTCATTAATCCAACTATTGAACCCCTGATAAATAAGGGACTACAAGCCCGTATAGCAGCCTGGTGAAAGCGGTGGTTTTATTTTCTCAAACAATTGACCTTTTTGCAGTTATTCGCCTGATTTTCTGTTTAATTATGAGTTTGCTGTGTTGGTTTTGAATACTCCATTTACTTTATACTTTATATTTTATTGTACAGTATAATATTCATATTAAAATATTGAGTAATTTGGTAGCAAATTACCACAACATTAAATTAGGCGTTCAAGAACATTCATAGTATTATTTAGCTTTGTTGGCAGCTAAGAGTTCAAGCTGGGATGACGAGCATTGGGTTATATGGGTAATACACGGTGGTATAGCTTCGTTTTACTCGACTGAAAAAAGCTCTCTGATAAGATAACACTATAATGCAAAGATACGTTGTTTTGTTGCCTGCTTGAGTTTGGGTTTGCGAGTGGTTAATTTTTATTAGGCCTACTGTTCTCGTAAACTTAATATTCACACAGTTTTATGAACACATTCCTCATCTTAAGATAACATACATTTCTTTGGCATTTAAATTAGGCCTACATACAGTTGACGTCTGAATTATTAGCCCCCCAGAATTATTAGACCACTTGTTTATGTCCCCCCAATTTCTGTTTAACGGAGAGAATTTTTTCAGCACATTTCTAAACATAATAGTTTTAATAACTCATTTCTAATAACTGATTTATTTTATCTTTGTCAGGATGACAGTAAATATTTAACTAGTTTTTTTCAAGACAGTTTAAAGTAACATTTAAAGGCTAGGTTAATTAGGTTAACTAGGCAGATTAGGGTAATTAGGCAAGTTATTGTATAATGACGGTTTGTTCTATCAAAAAGAATATATAGCTTAAAGTGGCTAATAATTTTGTCCCTAAAATGGTGTTTACAAAAATTAAAATCTGTTTTTATTCTTGCCGAAATGAAACAAATAAGACTTTCTCCAGAAGAATAAATATTATCAGACATACTGTGAAAAATCCCTTGTTCTGTTAAACATCATTTGGAAATTATTTTAAAAAGAAGGAAAAAATTCAAAGGGGGGCTAATAATTTTGACTTCAACTAGTCCATAGATTGATTCGCACTAAGCATTGCCTATGGATCATGACCATCGGAAAACTCTTGTGTAATTATTATTATTATTATTATTATTTTAATCAGTGGAAGTTTTAAAAGATCTTATTTTAAAGCCAAGTGTGGCTTCTTTATGATTAAAATCTAGAAGATCGATACAGAATCAAAATGGAGAAGATAAACAGGTTGACTGACGCCCGTATTTCACACGAATTACAAAGCGAACTTGGCAATATAATATAGTTTTGTACGTGGTCAATTATATCTATTTTAACTTCTGTGAAAAATTGCATTTGAGTTTGTGTTGAAGTACCCAAAGCAATGTGCAAATAATATTTGATCATGCAGAGAGAAAGCAAAGGTCTCGTGGCGGAGACCTCGTTAAAATAATAGCTTATATATTTCATTGTATTTTTTACTTGCAATTGCAAAGCACTGAACTTTTTCCTTCCGATAACTCATTCATAAAAGCCACACCTTCCAGCTCATGTTTCCTTATTTTAGCAATCTCTGAGCAATAAAAAGAAAACAGCAACGCTTGTTCGTGTAAAGGCTGACATTGGTTTTTATTTTATTTTGTTTTTTTATAGCGAAATCAAATTATATCAACTTAAAAATATTTCAATTGAATTAGCAAAATGTCTAGCTTTATATGCAGTGTAAAAATGATATGATAAATTACTCACATGTTTTTAAGTCATTGTAACTTAAGAAACTATTCTAACATAATTGTATAAATTACGCAGACTTTTAAAGCCAGTTTAACATAATAAGTTAAATGGACTCACAAGGTTAATTTTTAAGGCAACCAGTTTTTTTACAGTGTGGACTTAATTTTATTAGATTTAAATTTAGCATAATTTCTCCGGTGATAAATACAGTAGCAGATAACAACAGCAGTAACTTTATTTTACTATATTTTTATAACAAAACAAATAGCTACAACAATAAAGCGTGCTGTAACAACCATTAAATGGTTTTAAGATGTAGGCTAATGACCTTATACTGTAAAGTGCATTGTTGTTATAACCCTACATGGCTCAAACATGGATATTTTCATTTTCGGTTGGGTTTGTTGAAACAACCGCATGCATCATTTTAAAAGTGTAATTGTATTAGGTCACACAATGTTAAATTAAATTCAATATTCTCGTATACAGAAATCTGAAACATGCAATTGACACACAAACTGTGCGCGATTTATACCTTGACTATAATGGGTGGGGGGAGTCAACTTTTTGGTAATGTTAGTTTGCGTAATACATGCTTCAGTGAATTATGTGTTTATTTAAATTAGGCCTACATATGTATTCATAAAATGTATTTAATTTTTCAGTGTTCAGGGGGGGATCAAGCCTTAATTAGGAGGATCAATCCTCCCAACCCCCCTTTAATTCACACCCTGCATATAGGCATGTAAAATATGTCATACTCTCTAATAAGCGGGGTTATTTAACCATAATTTGGCCCTACTACATTGAATAAAAAATTAACCCAACAGATCGGTATAAGTCCCTTTTACACCCATAATTAAGTTGAAATAACCCCGCGTTTTATATGCAAATATTAGTCAAAATATTGCAGAAAAAGGCCATTTACCACTCTTCAACCATTGAAATTGCAATTGTTATTACTAATTAAATATTAAATTAATTATTAAAATAGAATATGTTATCATACTGTAAAAATACCAGTTGCCTTATGTTTTTAAAGCTGAATCAAATAACCTCATGAGTCCATTCAACTTATGTTAAACTGACTTAAAACAGCTTTCGTAACTTATAAAATTAAGTTAGAACATAACTTTTTAGCAAGTTACTATGAACGAAAAACGTATGCTGTCATGACTAATTGGAGATATAATTTCATAGTGTAAATTATCACATAAATGGCCATGTGAACACATTTAGGCCTATAAAATATAGCTATAAAACAAATATGTTGCATATATGACATATAGTTTATATGAATTCGTCATATTTCTGTATTTATTTTCATACATATTTTATTTTTTTACATTTTTCTTTTGGCCAAGACGACGCGCTAATCTGAAAATCGAATCCAATCCCCGAAGTCTAACTAGATCATACTATAGGAACGACCATCCAAATTATTTGTGTTTTAGCAAGTCTTTTAAGAGATGTCACGTGCATCAGTGCCAAGAACACAGTCTCAGACGGTCACCTGCAGGACACCTGTGATATGACACAACAATAGAGTTTCAGTCACTCATGTTTTATCTCTTATCAACCATTTATTTACACGTAAATACATGCAATTAACTGTAAAATAAATACAAGCACTTGCATTCCCAGATACTGTTGAAGTCCGACCTATTATCTATTATCCCCTATTTCTGTTTAACGGAGAGATTATTTGGTTCAACACATTTCTAAACATAATAGTTTTAATAACTAATTTCCAATCGCTGATTTCTTTTATCTTTGTCATGATGACAACACATAATATTTGACTTGATATTTTTCAAGATACTAGTACTCAGCTTAAAGTGACATTTAAAGGCTTAACTAGGGTAATTAAAGCAAGTTAGGGCTCATTGTATTACACTGGTTTGTTCTGTAGACAATCGGATAAATAGGGGGCTAATAATATTGCTAATATTAAACAAATGTTTTTATTCTAGCTAAAATAAAAACAAATAAAATTTTACTTACTACAATCGCAGTACTGTATTTAAAAAAAAAATGAAAAAGATGAAAATATAATAAAAAAAATAAACAACCCACCAAAAAGATATACAGAAGGGTTATTTATACATCATCACATATTGCAGATTTATGTTGTTTTAAAACCTTTTATTGTAATATATAAAATATTTAAAAATTATAAAAATATAGGGGTGGCACGGTGGCTGAGTGGTTACCACTGTCTCTTGCATGAAAGTGCTTGGTTTGAGTCTTGGCTGGGCCAGTTGGTGTTTCTGTGAATGAACCACCAACTATTCTAGCTTATGTTTTAGGCAGCAGATGCCTTTCCAGCTGCAACCTAGTACTGGGAAACACTCGTACACTATGGCCAATTTCATTCATTTTCGGCTTAGTCCCTTTAACAATCCAGGATCGCCACAGCGGATTGAACCGCCAACTTATCCAGCACATGTTTTACTCAGCGGATGCCCTTCCAGCTGTAACCCATCTCTGGGAAACATCCATACACTCTCATTCACACACATACACTAAAGACAATTTAGCCTACCCAATTCCCTTATAGCACATGACTTTGGACTGTGGGGGAAACCGGAGCACCCGGAGGAAACCCACACCAACACGGGGGGAAAACATGCAAACTCCACACAGAAATGCCAACTGACCCACTTGAGACTCGTACCAGTGACCTTCTTGCTGTGAGGCCACAGTGCTAACCACTTATCCAAATCTTCATTGATTGCACCAGTATGAGCAAGTGTGAAGCTAGCTCTGTTTTGTTTAAAATATTGCAATGCACATTAAATTCTGGGCAACATATCAGAGTTCAAAAGAGGACAAATTGTTTTGTTGTAGGTCTCAACTCTCCTTTTTCCACTAAAACGGTTCTTTGGGAGCTCGACAAGTTCAATATACATCTGACCTGCTATAGCCAAACCTTCTCTTGCTTGTGCCAATGCTAAACATCTTATTTAATGGCACCAGCAGCATAAAAAGGGCTGTGGACAATGTGAAGCATGTATTGTTCTCCGATGAGTCCACCTTCACTGACTTCCCCACATCCAGGCGAGTTACTGTGCGGATAAGCCCCAAAGAACTGAACCACCCAGACTTTTGCACGTCCAGAGTGAAGCATGGGTGTGGTTCAGTGATGGTTTGGGCTGCAATATCATGGCATTCCCGAGGCCCAATACTTGTGCTAGATGGAGCCTCACTGCCAAGGACTACTTAACCATTCTGGAGGAGCATGTGACCCAATGGGTCAAACATTGTATTGAAGGCAGTACCTTGTATCAGGATGATAATACACCAAAACACACACCAAGACTGGTGACAGAGTGGTTTGATGAACATGAAAGTCTGCACAGTCATAAGATCTAAATATTATTGACCCACTTTAAGGTGTTTTGGAGGAGCAAGTCAGGAAACGCTTTCCTCCAGCAGCTTCACATAGTAACCCTGACAGCATTCTGCAAGAAAAATGGCTCAAAATCCCTCTGTCCACTGTGCAACACTTGTATCTGTTATTCCCATCAACAACTGATGCTGTACTAGCCGCAAAATGAGGCCCTAGACCAGGGGTGTCCAAACTCGGTCCTGGAGGGCCGGTGTCCAAGAGAGTTTAGCTCCAACTTGCTTCAACACACCTGCAAGGATGTTTCTAGAAACCCTAGTACAGTGGTGTCTAAACTCGGTCCTGGAGGGCCAGTGTCCTAGAAAGTTTAGCTCCAACCCTAATCAAACACACCTGAACTGGCAAATCAAGCTCTTACTAGATAAACTGAAAACCACCTGGCAGGTGTGTTGAAGCAAGTTGGAGCTAAACTCATCAGGACACTGGCTGTTTCTCAATATGCGTTCTTCAGCGGTCTTGCGTCCTCGTGTTCTCGTGCAACGTCATCATCAGCTGCCTAAGTTCAGTTCCAATACTTAAGACCGCAAGTATGGAGGACGCGTGAAACTTCCCGGATGTGATCTTGATATGGAGGACGCAACGATGCAGACTTGAGCACCGAACTCGCTCTGGAAGTCCTAGAAGTCATTGCGACTGGAGGTGGGAAGCGCAGCATTTTATTTAGATTTATTATTAAAGTTCAGAGATATCATTTATTTACCTCAGGAGTTTCTCTAAATGAAACGGTGAAAGTAAACATTACCATGAACTTCTTAATAGAGGAATAAACACATTAAGGGTTATTTGTTTGCTGAAATTCGTATTAAAATTAGATTTTTATATTGTGCAGAGTATATTTATAATCTTTTTATGCAAAGTATATATTTTGATGAGGGGAAAAACAATAAATCGTTGTATGAGTGCTGAAATGTTTAAATAATTTCTATTTAAAACGCGTGAAGGTCACGTGACCATACGGAAGAACGCAGCATCCCATTTCTCAAAGGATGCGTTCTCTGCCCTCGTGGTCTCCTGAGTTCGTTCTTCCAAGGACACCTGGCAAGACCGGTCTCCACAAGAACACAAGTCCGTTCTCTGCGTTCTTGGAATTGAGAAACAGCCACTGGCCCTCCAGGACCAAGTTTGGACACCACTGGCCTAGTAAGAGCTTGATTAGCTTGCCCAGGTGTGTCTGATTGGGGTTGGAACTAAACTTTGCAAGACACCGGCTCTCCAGAACAGAGTATGGGGACCCCTGCCCTAGACCATACTAATGAATTATTGTGGTCTAAAACCTGGCATTTTAGTTTCATTGTTCAACCGCTGTACATGGTCAACACTTAGGTTTAGTCTTATCAGTGATATCTAATAGCAGAAGATCCCTATATTTGTTTTGACATGATCTTTAAGTTAAACTTCTTAAAAAAAGATTGCAGCTTGCAGAGCCTACATTTCTTCCTTTTGCGATTCTTTCCTCTCTTATAATAAACTCCATCCCAGTTTTCCTCCTCGTCATCTTCACCAACCCAAGGTCTCCATGCCCCTCCATTCGCACTAGGGTTGGCACGGGTATCATCAGGCGGGTAGCGGACAGGTATTGCGGTGCGATTGTGAAAGGCTAGCCGTGCTAGCAGCTCCCTAACAACATCAGGCCTGTGCACCGCAAGGTCATGCCGTTCACAAGGGTCACCTGTTACATTGAAAAGCCATACGGATTTCCTCTTTTCTCCAATGTCCCGCTCTAGATGCCACCAGCTGCTGGGGAAGTGTGTAAGGACATGTGGCGGCACCCAATCCCCATTCCCAGGATCACCCGTCAGGAGCTTCCAGTCACCAACTCTAATGGCCGCCTGTACAGTGGTGTCCCAAAGTCCGTAGCCATCCTTAAGTGAACCCCGACTGCGGCGATTAAGAGGGTCAATATTATGAAGAATTTCCAAACGTGGTGATTCTTTCCCCTCACTAATAGTAGGCCAAACATCAAACCCATCTAACCCCTGATGCTGGGAAACATTTCCCCCAGCAAGTCCAACAAGAGTTGGATACCAGTCAGTAATGTGAATAAGATCTCTGCTAATCCTTCTTCGATGGCGTATCAAGGGACTGTGCACAAAACCCACTCCTCTAATGCCACCTTCCCAATATGTTCCCTTACACCCTCGCAGGGGCCAATTACTGCCCCCGGTCAGTGGTTGCGCCCCATTATCAGTAGAGAATATGACAACACTGTTTCGGTAGAAGCCATACTTGCGCAGTGCATACGTTATATTCCGGACTGCCTCGTCAACTATAGACACCATTGCAGCATATTTCCTCCGGGGAACGTTGCCTATGTTGCGATATGGGTAGATGTACTCTTTGGGCGGCTTTAGAGGAGTATGCACTGCCTGAAGGGAAAGGAAAATAAAAAGGGGCTGACTGGTTGGGTCGTGTGTGGCTAATATTTTGCGCACTCTTTGGGTGTAGAGGTGAGTTGAGTACTTGCCCGCTCTACCCCAAGCCACGGACTCTCCTTCGTGGAGGTCAAATCCACACAGTGACTTGCCGTCACACGAGCCATACGTATAGTAGTCCACACTGCCTGTCAATGAACCGAAGTAAGTGTGAAACCCACGGCGAGTTGGCAAACAGTCTTTCCGATAGAAACCCAAATGCCACTTTCCAACCATGTGAGTGGAGTAGCCAATTTCCTGAAGGCGCTGAGGGAGCGTGACCACATCCAGAGGTAGGCAGTTGGGTTGACGTGGCCTGATGATGGAGTGCTGGAGGCCCGTGTGTATTTGATACCTAAAGGAAAGAATAAAAAAATGATACGATAAATTAAACAATATGGGTTTCCTTTTTTGAGCAATTACCCTTAATTTTCATTACATGGATGGATATTGGCGTTCACACCAAAAATGTCCTGCTATTCATGCATAAATAGACGTGAACATTTTGAGTTTACTTGCTTGTTTCGCGCGTCAAATTTTCTGCACAATAGACGAGGATTTGTGTCATCGACAGAGCTTCTGTCTGTCCGGTGACTCTAGCTTCGTTGCTAAATGGCTAACATGGATTTTATAGAGAGAGTAGCTGTGCTTTACGTGCTTTAGGAAGGCTGATAAAGAGCGTAGAATCATTCGGCGCCGTGTCTGAGTCCACTAGACCCTTTCAGAGGTGCACCCAGTTCTTGGAGCTCATTAACTCCTCCAGAAACTGTACCTGAATGACGGAGGCTTACAGCAATGCTTCCGACTGTGACGAGCCCAGTTGAATGAGCTGTTGTTTGGTGTCGGCAAGAGGATTTCCCCTCTGGACATCAACTGCAGGCGGTACGTCAAGAGCAAGCTCCTGATTAGTTGACGCATCGTTAAGTTCAAATTTTCTTACTTGAGCGAATTGCGAGATTTACGAGGTTCTCGCGTTTAATGCGTCACATTTGCGGCACTTCATTTGTGTGACCAACATCATTTACGCCATCTCATTTGCACGAAATGCGTCACAGAATGTCTATAGGCGTCTTTGCATTGACTGAACATGTAAATCACTCGTGCATGACGCTTCATCTGTGTGGTGTGAACGCACACGAATATTTAGGGTTGGGTGATGTCGACCAATTCGGCAATGTATGATGTCTAATGTCAAACATCATGATGGACGATGGCATCGTTGTCTTTGGTGGCGGTGAATTAATTATTTATTAATAATTAATTAATTCATAACGAATTAATTATTTGTAGCCTACCGTTTCAACTACCTGACCTGCATGGTCTGTGTTTTACCCATAACCAAATCATAAAAAAATAAAGATAAGTTACACACAAATGACCACCTGTCAATCACTTTTTACAACTATACACACACAACTATATAGTGAGACGCCATCCAGCGGTACATCCTTGATAAACTGTCCGACGTGCACTGCTCTTTGGGGTTTTGTGCTCAAAGCACCCGCTGACTGCTGGAGCTCAGACGTGTGCATAGGCTGCAGCTCATGACAGAGTGTCTGTGTGTGTGTGTGTGTGTGGTCACGTGATGTGCATTTTCAGCGATATAGTGTAGATGGAGGGCTTTTCAGAAGTTCTAGGTAAAACACGGTGTGGATGTGGATCGTTTTAAAATGCCATTTTTAAAAGATGTGTTAGAGTAAACGGGGCCCGAGTGTGTATTTTTCGCGAGTGGGTTGCTGCTGTGATGAGGCTGGGCAGAGGTTGGCGTTGCCGACTCAGCATTGTGATGTCTGTCGGCCATCAGCGATGGACGATGGCATCGTCTGTCGACCCAGCCCTAATAAGGATACACTTTTCTGTTTGAAGCATAATAGGTCTCCTTTAATAAATTAGAAGAATTGCATACACGGTTCATTTCAGGAGCCACCTAGACAAGTAGATGAGAACAGCCTAATATTTTATTGAACTATACAGGAAAAACTAATCCTGATGTAGTAGAGAGGAGTTTAAATTGTATGTAAATTAAAATGTATGATGTAATAAATGTGTGATTAGAAACAATATTCATTCATTCGTTCATATCCCTTCGTCGTTGTCCTTTATTTATCAGGGGTCACCACAGTGGAATGAACTGCCAACTATTTTGGCATACGTTTTACGCAGCGTATGCCCTTCCAGCCACAACCCAGTGCTGGGAAATATTATAAATAAATAATTATTAATATTATTTTTTCATTAGAACCTGGTTATATTCACACACTGCTGCCACACAACTGTGTTTAAAGCCCTTACATTAGTGATTTTTGCATAATTGGTCTCCTTTAAAATAAAGTATAACCAAACAGTATAATGTTTAGGGGCTGTAGTTCAAGATAAATACGGTGAATAAGCTGCAGAAGTGAATGACCTGCCTGTGATGAGCTGGCTGCGGGACGGCGTGCACAGCGGCTGGACATAGTAGTTCTCCAGCCGGACCCCCTCCGAGGCCAGCTTATCCAGCGTCGGGCTGCGGATCTCCCCGCTGTGGTAGCCGATGTCATTGAAGCCCTGGTCGTCGGTCAGAATAAAGATGATATGTGGAGGTTGCTTGGGCTTGAACGCTGCAGCTTCTGGCTTTTCTTCAACCCGAAAACCTTCGAAGTCCTCTCGGTTTGTTCTCATGGACGCACACGCTGGAAGACTGAGAATGAGGAGCACCAACAAAGCCATATCCACTTCAGAAAGAGCGGACACTCGGTCGAAGTACTCATCAGTTTTGTTAAAGCTTAGTTTAGTGTGGAGACAAACGATAAACTTTAATAATGGCACGCGCTTTTCTTCTGGAAGTCTGGCTGAAGGCAGCGCGACGTGGCGTTGGAAAACCGCTGGGAGGATTCAGTCATAATTCGGGTTGATTATGGCGTAAAAGTGCCGAAAAGCAACAACATTTCACCAGTTATTCAGACTGCATACTTTTATGTACAAATATATAGGCTTACAGTGCAATGTATCGTGAAACTGGCTTTTTTTGTTAGTAAACAGTTCATTGCGCAAGCTTAAACGCCCAATTTACTTCGTCTTGCATTCACAAAATGCGTGAAAAGTGGCAAAGAAAACCCGATATTTGACCAACCTTATACAAATATATAGGCTATTGTGCAGTGCAGCGATAAAACAGGCTCTTTTTCTTTGTAAATATTGTATTGCGTAAACAAATACGCCCAAATTTACTACATCTTCCACTCATAATAAGTGTGAAATGTGATAAATAATGTCATGTTATTAAAACCAGCCCCTCCTCAGTGTTGTAAACAGTCCAACCCTGTCATGACGAAGGCTACAAGAACTGAATAGTCGATTGTCTATTTCTAAGCCTTAAGGGCTTTAACTCTGATCACATTTTTGCAACTCAATACAAAATGCAACAGCTTTATGTATTATTTCAATCAATTTAAATTAATTACATGAAAAAAAAATACTATAGTAATTTTTATTGTAATGTTTTAGGAATATTCCACTGTTTATATTATAGTATTTACAACGCTGTCAATGAATGCTACACCACTATTAACTATAGTGAAGTGATACTGTAGTACACAGTCAGAATTAAAAGTACAAAATCTGTATGTACATTTCTGTTCTTAACAGGTCATCAAAAGATATAATAATACCTAAAACGTACAAATGCGTACCTCACAGTAACAAAGGTACAAAAGTGAACCCTAAAGGTACTAATGTCCAACTGTATGGTACAAGTGTAGCCTACCTTGAGAAAGGGTACCACCTCAGCGACAGATTTTGTACCTTTATGAGAGTGTACAGTAAGTAGTTAAGTATACTGCTATACTTTAGTTTTTACTACAGTAAACTGTGGTGTATTGTAGCATAATATACCCTATCGTTGTAGAAAACTTATTACTGGGTCATTTGTTTATATTATATAATGTAATAAATATTTTAGCATACGTCGTTTGCTTTTTTTCTTATATAAATAGCAGGCTTTGATAACAGCTTCCTGCGTTTAAAATGGATTTAGATTACCCTGTTAAAATACCCTATAACTTTTTCTTAATTCATACAGGCACGTGGAGGCCACACACATACTGAGCCTAATTTTGACTTGTTTGAGGACATTGCATCCAAGTTGGATCAGCTTGTCGTGTTTTTCCTCTTCAATTTTGAGTGTGACTCCAAATCCAGATTTCCATGGGATAATAAACTTGATTTCCATTGAACGTTTTTGTGTGATTTTGTTGTCAGTGATTTTAACTATGTAAAGAACATAGTATTTAATAAGAATATTTCATTCACTCAAATCTGATGTGCTATTTTAGTGTTCCCTTTATTTATTTATTTTTTTTAGAAGTGTATATATTTTAAATCAGACAGATATGGATTGATATTGAAAAGGCAATTTGGTGAGGATTTTGAAAAACAGCAAATTTGCAGACGTCGAATATATAAAACAAAGGAGATTTTAAATAATAAAAGCTTTTGGCGACAACTTATGATGGATGTAGTCCAAAATATCATGCCATGTAAATTAGTTGTCAGAATAGGAATACGTAAAGAACTGAACATCGACAAAAACCATCAGAGTCTAATAACTCCTGGGTATAGATATGCATATGGTTGCATTATTTGTATATATGCCTGACATGAGGCTAAAGCATAAAGCTAATGAAGGCTCAATTCTGCCTATTGAAATTGTTAGTTGTGTATGCATATGAGAACCTGAACTAAAATGTTGCAGCATTCATTTAAAAGAGCCACAAACAAAAACCAAGATGTTTAGCATATACATTTATTCTCAGTTTGGAGCACAAACAACATTTACAGATTTTTACATCAGAAGGGTCACTCAGGGCTTTGCATTGACGACTGTTTCGAGTGCTTTGGCCACCTGCTCTGCGCTCATGTTGTCCAGTGAAACACTGTGTTCCTTACCAAAACCTGAAGTGGAGAGACGCATCATTACACACATGACAACTTGCTTTAGTTATGCTTGCTTAAAGGGGTTAAATCAACCAAAAATAAATATCCTCTTATTAATTATTCACCCTCATGTCGTTTCAAACCTCTCAGACCTTCAGCTACCTTCAGAACACAAATTAATATATTTTAGAGGAAATCTGTGAGCTCTATCATCCTCCATTTTCAGCAATGAGAGAGTCCAGAGACGTTAGGCCTGTCACAATATACATTTTTGTTGTACGATATACTGCACCAAATTATATTGCGATAAACTACTGTATATTGTTGTTATTTTAAGACAATTTTAAGCCATTATAATCCCAGAAAGACAACATAATAGCATCATAATGCAAGTACACTCTTCCAAAGAACACATCTTATTTTATTCCAACACAATCTCACGGCAATTCGGAACTTTTTCTTTTAGTGGCTAATTCGTACGATCTAATTCGTAAATTTTAGTACGATTTGCTCATCGCCCAATGACGGTTGGATTTAGGGGTTAGGTTAGGTGCCACGCCTCCTTTTAAAAATCGTACAATTTCGTTTGACTGAACTCGTACGAATTAGCCACTAAACTGGCAAAACGTAAAATACTTACGATTTCTTGTGAGATCATGCTGTTTATTCTTAAGAATATTTCATTTATTATAGTAATTTTAAGTATTTAATAATGAGGCATTGGAATCAGAATGTGAAAATGCATATCCTAAATAGGGTTGGGTCGATAGATGACTCCAGAAATCACAACAGCCCCTTTCACACAGTGATACAGGTAAATATATGGAAATTTTCCGTAATGACTTTACCGGTAAATTCAAAAAAGTGCTGTTCACACAGGCGAGGATGTTACGGAATTTTTCCGGAAAAGAGCATTCACACATCCATTCCACAATACGGGTAAATTCTGACATCATTAACCAGAAATGAGCCTTAAACGGCTGCGCTTGTGTTTGTAAACATTTGACTACATCACAAACTCTGTGGATGATCAGTATTGTGAACAACTCCGATGAAAACATATAGAGAAACACTTTCGCATGTCGAGATGTTCATAATATATGTGTGCTGGCACTCACAGGCTGTTTCACGGGCACACGCAAAGCTTGAAGGTAAACAAACAACGGCTTATCATAAGCATCTTATCGATGATTATTTACACGGCATTAAGATGAACATATAAACGTTTTCTGACTAACATCTAGCAGCTAAATGTCTGGGAAAATATTCAAAGGCTTTTATTCTCATAAACCGCGCGGACGTTAACGCATCTGACTGTTCTGATTGGCTAAACCAGACGTCTCACGTCAGCACGTTCTAGACGTGCACGCGCTCTTTCCGGCAATCTTCCTTCTGCGTTCACACAGAGCAGCATTCCGGCAAATTACCGGTAATCTTACAACTTCTCTTTCTGGAAAATAGCCAGAACGAATTTACTGGTATTTTCAAAAAGGACCTGTTCACACACACAAAATTGCTGGTAATTTTCCGGAAAGGTCTGTATGTGTGAAAGCGGCTATAGTCTCACTATAGTTGTTAAACGTGATGTTTAATTAATCTTGTCTCTATCTAAGGACTCATCTGTTTTTTTAATCTATGAGGTAACGTCACAGCATCAGAACACTGCTTTAATCTTTCGCTTTTACTTAGTAATTTTAGTGTAATTGTTTTAGTGTAATTTTAGTGTGGTTGTGCACCTTTTCTACCAACCAAGTTTGTCGACGCCATTATAACAACACAGATCATTCTGCCAATTCATTCCAAAGTCTTACGGAAATAAGTGATTGACAGGTGGTCATTTGTGTGTAACTTCTCTTTATTTATTTATGAATTGTTTATAGGTAACACAAAGATCATGCGGGTCTGGTAGCTGAAATGGTAGGCTGCAAATAATTTATTACTTATGAATTAATACTCATTAATAATTAATTCAGCGTTTTGAATGTTTTACATTAGACGGGACGACATCGTCCATCACTAATCCTCAATAAATAATAATAAATGTTAACAAAACTGTGCAAGGTAAAAAGTAACAGAGGCTGTGATATCTGCTTCCAGATCTATTTTCAGTCGTCTGACATCCTCATGAAAATATACTATAGTCATTTACTGTAAATACTGCCGTGCTTTAACCATACTGACACAGACAGCTCCAATAGTGATAGAGATGTTGCACAAGCAGCTAAAATGTTTCTAGAATTGGTTTTATGTATGGGCAATATATTCTGCATCACCAGAAATTATTGAGGTCATGTCCGTGTGTTGTGCGATAAGTCCATAAACTGATAATTGTGTAAACGCTGCTCCAACTCAACACACAGCTGACTACAGTGCCGGCTTTATAAAATAATGCACATGACAATTGCGTGTGATTAATCGTTCAGCCAGAGTGAGTAATTAAATAACAGAATTTGTCATTGAGTGAGCTATCCCTTTAAGTGCGTTTCCATACCATATCGAGCCCACAGCACGGGCTGAACTCCAGAGCACTCTCGGATCAGGATGGGGAACTGAGGGTTTGCCTTCTTCAGAGTCACATAATGCTGCTCAATGAAGTCCCTATAATAACAACAAACATCACTCATTACAAAACATAAGCCGGGTACCCCCAGGATCCTCCAAATGAAGTTCAAGACTTTTTAAGACCTTTTTAAGACCATTTCAAATGAAGTTCAAAGCCAACTTCGTACCCCTTCTGACAGAAGTATGAGGGACAAATGTCAAATCTGTATAAATTTTGTACCCTAGACAATAATTATGTACATAGAGGTAAAAATGGTTTTATATTTGCACATTCGTTCATTTAGAAGTCTCTATATTGTTTACCATGTTACTTTTAATATTCGATCTGAATTAGCATGCAAGTGTGACTTGAAAACAACATTAGCACTGTTTATTTGACTGTGAACAATGCTGTACTCTAATAGTCATTGGCTACTTATATGATTTCGCTATTTAGAGTTTGCAAATAATACTTTTATGAAATTATATTATTAAGGGGAAAGTCCGAATGTGCGACTATAAAACCAAATTTACCTCTATATTATGTACAAGTGACTACTTGAATTGAATAAATCATTGTATTTAAATGGTCAGTTATATTTAATACTTACGCAACAGCGAAACACACATCTGATTTTTAATAAACAAATAAATTTGAACTTGGTGTTGAACACTATAACCTTCACTGCTATGCTGTTTAAACTCACTGAAAGCAGAGCAATGTATAAAGCTCACTAGCATTCAGACAACAATAATAACACACACGAACATTTCTGCAGGTGACACACAGACTCTTAGAGGACAGTTCCTCTCCTATATTCTCACACACAATAAGAGCGGTCAGTACTGCACCTGGTGCCCTGGCTGGCAGCTGAGATCTGGCATAAATGCAGGCGGATTTCACGCAGATTCTTTGACAAGTTTGAGCCGATTCCTCGAACCACCGCTGCGGCCGCCATGACTGTCACCTTCACCGGAGGAAGTGCTCTTCTTCTGCTGCTGTTTGCAGCAAATGCCGCTGCATTTGATATACCGCCACCTACTGGAAAGTGTGGTAAAGTATAGAAGGGATACAGCTCACGCGGTTTTTGTGACGCTGTACAACAATTACTATTTTTAATATTCATACTGTAAAGGTTGGGTTCTGGGTTGGGGTAGGCGTTAGTAAAATGGATTATTGAGTAATTTAATAAATAATATAAATAATACTTGGTATAATTTTTATATACTGTGTGGGTTAGGGTATATGGAGGACGAAACCTGCAAAACAAAAAAATAAACAATTACGCAAATAAATAAATAAATAAATAAATAAATAAATAAATAAACACAAATTCCTGCATCAGTAAAACAATTAGATAAATAAAAGAATAAATAAATAAAGAAATAAATACCTGCATAAATAAAACAACAATTAAATAAATAAATGAATAAATAAATACACAAGTTACTGCATAAATAAAACAATACATAAATAAATACACAAATTAATAAACAAATCTATATATAAATACACAAGTTCCTGCATAAATAAAACAATAAATAGATAAATAAATACACAAATAAATAAATGAATAAATACACAAGTTCCTGCAAAAATAAAACAATAAATAAATAGATAAATAAATACGTAAATAAATAAATAAATACACAAGTTCCTGCATAAATGAAACAATAAATAAATATATACGCTGTAAATAAATAAATGTATATATATATATGAACAAAACCTGCAAATATATATATATAAAGTCTACTTTAAGTTTTCTTATTCCTCCAGCATTAATTATTAATCTGTCCACACTATATTTATATATTTATTTATGCAGGGATTTGTGTGTGTGTGTGTGTGTGTGTGTATATATATATATATATATATATATATATATATATATATATATATATATATATACACACACACACACACACACACATATATATATATATATATATATATATATATATATATATATATATATATATATATATATATATATATATATATATATATATACTGTATATATATATATATATATATATATATTTATGTATGTATGTATGTATGTATGTATGTATGTATACACAGTTGAAGTCAGAATTATTAGCCCCCTTCAAATTTTTCCTTCTTTTTTAAAAATATTTCCCAAATAATGTTTAATGTTTAACAGAGCAAGGAAATCTTCACAGTCTGTCTGATAATATTTTGGCTTCTGGAGAAAGTGTTATTTGTTTTATTTCGGCTACAATACAAGTAGTTTTTCATTTTTTTAACATCATTTTAGGGACAAAATTATTAGCCCCTTTAAGCTATATTTTTTCTCGATAGTCTACAGAACAAACCATCCTTATACAATAACTTACCTAATTACCCTAACCTGCCTAGTTAAACTTATTAACCTAGATAATCCTGTAAATGTCACTTTAAGCTGTATATACAGTAGGTGTCTTGAAAAATATCTAGTTAAATATTATTTACTGTCATCATGGCAAAGATAAAATAAACCAGTTATTAGAAATGAGTTATTAAAACTATTATGTTTAGAAATGTGTTGAAAAAAATCTCTCCATTAAACATAAATTGGGGAAAAAATAAACATGCGGTCTAATAATTCAGGGGGGTTAATAATTCTGACTTCAACAGTATATAACTTCAGAATTGTTATTTACTTTATTTTCCACTTATTTAAATGTCATTCTGTGTTCTTGTGCAAGTTTTGTACCCTGAGCTCCTGAAAAAACAAACAAAAAAAATCCTTGTGTGTTATTCCCTGGCAAATAAAGCTCATTTTGATTCTGACTCCTGCTAATGGCTGTCACTGTAATGACTGTATTTACAGGCTGTTCATCACACCACTGATTCTGATGCCAAAGAAGAAGACTCAGAGTCAAAAGAGGCTCAGAAACTGGGAAAACTTCTTTATACCCTTGACTACAACTTCACTGACAGCACGGTAGGAATACAAATGAATCCCCAGCATTAATTCAGTCATCGATAATATCCATATTAATGAGAGAAACTTGCTTAGGCATTAGAACGTCACACAGTATATCTTTATTTTAGCACTAAAACAGTGTATTATTGGAATAATAATGACCTTCTGTCTGGTTCAGTTAATTGTAGGTGTGATTCGGGCTGAAGGGCTTGCTGCTATGGACATGAGTGGCACTTCAGATCCATACGTTAAAGTTTACCTCCTCCCCGACAAGAAAAAAAAGTTTGAGACTAAAGTTCATCGCAAAACACTCGAGCCGACTTTTAATGAACACTTCACCTTTAAGGTACGTCTAAAAACACACTTGGATTATATTTTATTTATGGAAAGAATAAATATTAAAAAGGCACAGTGGCGCAGTGGTTAGCACTTTCGCCTTACATCAAGAAGGTTGCTGGTTCGAGTCCCTTCTGGGTCAGTTGGAATTTCTGTGTGGAGTTTGCATGTTCTCCCCGTGTTGGTGTGAGTTTCCTCCGGGTGTTCCGGTTTCCCCCACAAGCCCAAAAACATGCGCTATAGGTGAATTGTGTAAACAAAATTGTCCGTAGTGTATGAGTGTGTGTGTGAATGCAAGAGTGTATGGGTGTTTCCCAGTATTAGGTTGCGGAATAACTAAATCCGCTACTGATAAAGTTTATATAGGCTACTAGAAGATTGAGTGTATGTAAGTACATAGTGTGGAGACAGTTTGCGTGAGATTCTGATGTTGATTTTACAGGTACCGTATGCAGAGCTCGGAGGGAAGACGCTGGTCATGACGGTGTACGATTTCGACCGTTTCTCCAAGCACGATGCGATCGGGGATGTGAGGCTGCAGATGAATAAGGTGGACTTCAGCCATCTTACTGAGGAGTGGAGAGACCTGCAGAAAGCTGAGAAAGAGGAGGTATGAGTGTTTTACCCCCCTGAGGTTTCACAACTGAATTGAGTTCTGGAATAGCACAAAACAATGGGATTTAATCAGTGCAAAACATCACAGTTTTGATTTGCATTTACGTAAAAGACTATTTTGTTTGTTTTTATTACTATAAACTACTGATGGCATTTCTACCACGTTTTTAAAGCATAAAATAAAAATGTTTTTTTCCATGTTCATGCTTATATCTGACTGAATCACAACAAATGAAAGCATTTGTAAAAAAATGTATTAGTATTTTTAATTGAAATATATATATATATATATATATATATATATATATATATATATATATATATATATATATATATATATATATATATATATATATATATATATATATATATATATATATATATATATATATATATATATATATATATATATATATATATATATATATATATATATATATATATATATATATATATATATATATATATATATATATATATATATATATATATATATATATATATATATATATATATATATATATATATATATATATATATATATATATATATATATATATATATATATATATATATATATATATATATATATATATATATATATATATATATATATATATATATATATATATATATATATATATATATATATATATATATATATATATATATATATATATATATATATATATATATATATATATATATATATATATATATATATATATATATATATATATATATATATATATATATATATATATATATATATATATATATATATATATATATATATATATATATATATATATATATATATATATA